TTCACCCCAAATTAAAAATGCTAAGGTAAGTGTTCAAAGAAACTACTAAAAGCATTTTAATGCCCCAAAAAAACAGTTACTAAAAATTGCCTCTGAATCATTTTAACCCTTTAAGAAGCCATGACAAATGGGCCCTTTTTCTTTTTTCTTTTTAAAAGAAGCAAAGGGCAAATGGATTTAAATTTTGGGCCTTTTAATTTGAAGTTTTAGGCAATGATAGGTGTACACCCCAAAAAATTGATTTCGGGGCTTTGTTTCTCAAAAGGAGGTTTTTCAAAATACGTTTTTAAACCTGGGCTTTTGGAAACCTGAGCTTTTTGTAAATCCAAAGGTTTTGGCAAAACCTTTAAATAAAAGCTTAAAACTCACTTTTTAAGAATGTAAAAGTTATTTCTCAAAATATTAAATTCACGGAAGTCATTTCATTTTAAATTCTTGTCAGGTGTAAAAAAGAAATATTTTTTTAAATTTAAATTTCTTGTGTTTTTTGGGTAAAAAAAAACAAAAAAAAGGGAAAATTAAATTTCCGGTAAAGTAAAAAATTTTTTTGGGTTTTTTTTTTTTTTCCCAAAAAAAGTTTCAATTTCAAAGTGTAAATTTAAGGGCATTGAATTCTTATTCAACGGCAGGCCTTCAATATTTTTTTTTTTTGAAAAAACCGGTAAAAATTTTTTTTTAAAAAAAAAATTTAGGGTCCCCCTTTTTTTTAATTTAAAGACGTTGAAAGTTTTTTAAAAGTTTGCATTTAAACTTTTTTAAAAAAATTTTGCTAAGCAAATAAAAGGGTTTTTAAAATTTTTTCACATGACTGAAAAAAAAAAAAAAAAAAAAAAAAAAAAAAAAAAAAAAAAAAAAAAAAAAAAAAAAAAAAAAAAAAAAAAAAAAAAAAAAAAAAAAAAAAAAAAAAAAAAAAAAAAAAAAAAAAAAAAAAAAAAAAAAAAAAAAAAAAAAAAAAAAAAAAAAAAAAAAAAAAAAAAAAAAAAAAAAAAAAAAAAAAAAATAGAATTTGAGTTATCTCTCGACAAAGAAATGGATGAACAAAGCGATTACCGGTACTCTTTGAGGCTGGGCTCTTATGAACAAGCTGATGCTCAAAGTAGTTCTAAACAATGCAGTACATGTAAAAAATTCAGTACAAACCTCTATTTGTTCCATATGCTTTGAATCTGGTTGTACTTCATGGTTATTTGGTAGTTCACATAGCAACTCATCATCATCATGATTCTCCTGAAAGTATTTCATATCTGTTTACAAATTTACATGACCCTACTGCATATAGTTGCTGATTCTTTATAATAAACAAGCTGATGCTAAAAGTAATTTAAAGCAAGATAAGTTTGTGAAACAGTATGCCCCCAGCGTCAACAAATTTAGAAAAGCTAGATTTAGCAAAAACATCAAGGTCTAAAGGTTACTGACGTTGGTGTAATTTAAAAGAACTTAATTAGTGGATTATGTATACCAAATATGATCTCACAGTTCAAAAGTCATGGTAAAGGTTAAAGCTGACAACAGATATACAGAAAGGACAAACAAAAATATGTTCATGCTCTTTGGGCATAATAATTCAGTGCATGTAAAAAATACAAACCTTTATTTGTTCCACATTAATTGGATCTGCTTGTACTTAATGGTTATTTGGTAGTTCACATTGCAACTGATTATCATCATGGTTCTCCTGAAAATATGTTAAACCTGTTTACAAACGTACTTGAGCCTATAGCATATATAGTGACTGGGATATGATATAAGACATAAAACTGGACAAGGGGATACTCCAATTTAGTCTAACATTTTCTGAATTATTGTATTCAGAAATTGTGCCCAACCTGATCAAGAGCTTAGAAGGAATAGCACCCCACCCACTCCTTACTTTTTTGGGAAGTCAAAATTTCCTGTAATTAAAATTTAGAAATCCTGGTTCCCCTCCCCTCCACTTTAAGGGTCAGGAGCAAATTTTGAAACCAGAGTTGAGTCTGTTATCCTAGTTTCCCTTCCCCTTTCCAAATCAATATTAGCAACCTCAAGTTTTGTCATCTTGTTTTAGTGTAGCTGCAGAACTGTAGCTCTCCGAAAAAATATATATTGATATACCTGAGATAATGAGGTATAGCGGGTATGGCTATGAATTTTAAAAAATATTGTTTGAAATATTACTTATCAAAAGAACACTAATATGCAAACATACATGTCACGGGTCTCCCAATCTCAGGGAATAATAATGTAACAACACAGTTCCTCAGTAAAGGTTCATATATTTATTAGCTGACAATTTCTGCAGGTACGATGAAATAAAGTATAAACGAACAAACGTATGAACGAAGGTGACCTGCAATGAAAATGACACACTCGTACAAATTCACACACACTAATATTTATTTAATTTAGAATAGTTAAAATCAGTATTAATATTAAATTATTCTTACCAGTCACATCAATTAAGGCACTAAGATTCCGTAAGGAATTTCTTAGACAAACTGCTCATATGGATTTCTCGCAGGAGAACATCCAAACTATCGTCAATGTATCGTCAAGATTAAAAAGGAATAGTCCGTGCATAAGTATATATACCAGGACTCACACATGCGTACCTAACTACCACACCCCATACATACTGGTTTTACAACTCACACCCAGGATAAAAATAAACCACAAGACAATCACGTGACAACCAAACACTCACGTGACACGGAACACCGGACAAACCAGAATACAATACAAACACGATGACAATGAATGACCAGGTATGAATGAATGAATGAAGGAATTTACTACAGCTATCTACTATACTGACTTACTATACCAGCTGTACTAAATAAAATAAAAACATGTAATTGTCACCCTGTGACATACATGAGTGGAAATCTACCACCTTATCAGTGATGGATGAATATGCTCTAAATAATAAAGTCTGAAATATCTGGCATTTTCCAGTTTTTTTTTTTTTAATATTTTCTGTGCCAGGGAAACGTCAGAACCAGCGCCATTACGAAAACTGGAATTTTCGCCATTTCCAGTCAGAGTTGATTTCCCATACTTGGGAACCGCATTAAATGCCGTTGTCACAATTTATCAATGGCACAATGCTTTTAGTACTTGACAATATCAATGAAAAGAAAATAATCACTCATCACTTCGATACAGGACTTGTATATTTTTTTTTTATTTGTAAACGCACGAAATGAAAACAAATCTCGACAGTCAGAGAAAATGTTTCCATCGGATCATATATTTACAAAAAAACCATAAAAACTATATTGGTAAGTACTAGAGGCATTGTACTATTGATAAATTGCAAGTATCGAAAATACACCCGAGAATGCCGCCTCTGCTTGGAATTCCCAGTTTTCGTAAAGGCGCCGGTTCTGGCGTTTTCCTCGCACGTAAAATATAAAATAGTTAAAAAGCCAAGAAAACGTCAGATATTTCGGACTATAAATAGTACTTTTCAGTCACCTACAAACTCTTGATGCTGTCATGTCCTCTGTAACCGCACAAGAACTGCTTTATACATCTTTACATGGTGTTTTTCTTCTCCGACTTCTGCTGCAACAGCAACTTTCTGTTCTTTATCAGCAGGAGAGTTCCACAAAAGGGAGATAATCGTTCACGCGTTTTCATATTTGTGGTATATTCTAAATCAAATGATTTGCTATGGAGTATCCAACTACCATTTTTTATTATTGGATTTATAACTTTAAAGATCGTAGTTTCTATTGCATGTATGATTATGATAGAGTTTGGTTGCGTTTTCGTGTAAAATATTTATAAAAATCATGTTGATTTTACAGCATTTAGTAGAAACAAAGCAAAGTAGGCCCCAATGCTTTAATATAAACATGGGAAAAATTAAATCTCCCATATATATATTGAAATTAAGAAAAACATAGTTTGATTCTGTAATTAATTTTGACAGGGTTATCAATAATCAAATTTCACACTTTTCAGGCATTAAAATCACCGTTGCTATGGTAACAAGGAAGATGTGACCAAAATAACTCATGTTTGAAAGGACATTCATCTATACTTCCATGCACCCAAATATTAAAGCAAAATATTTTTTTTCACATTCCACTCACTTTATATACAATACTTAATGGTTACTGACATGGCCTCTTAAAATTTTATAAATAATGGGGGTAAATGTTTCATCCAATCCTGATTGCCAAACTCTGACATGATTGGAGTGCGGAGACGTTATGTAGGCATAGTCTATTAAACAAAGACCGATTTATTCATCAACAATTTTACTTTCTTTTAAAAAATTTAGCCTAATCAGGATTTGTTGTATCTATTTTAAAATGACGTATATTTAAACATTTTCTATGAAATTTTTTCTAAAATTTGATGAAATCTTGATTTCTAAAAAGCACAGTCAGAATCTTACAACATTTTGGTTTAGGAGACTAGGATAATGCACGTTTTACAATGTGCCAAGCATTTTCCCGCCACATTTCAACACACTGAAAGAGAAGAAATGTAGTGGTGGATCTAGAGGGAGTTCGGGGGGGGGGGGGGGGGGGTTGTGTTAACATCCTCTAAAAGAGAGCGAGGAGCCACACATATTTCATATCTGTTGCGATTTTATTAAAGTTAAAACTATAGTTCAGTTTAAACTTTAGTTTTGTACTTTTATGCAAAAACTACTTAAACATCAAACTTATATAGTATAGTAATTAAAATCAACAAGAATCGTATCAAAATATTGAAGAAAGTGAAAATTAAACTTAATATCTATTAACCAATATTTCATAACGACAATGGTAATGAATAATTTAGCATAATTTGGGTGTATTATCTTCACTTTAAGTAAAGTTAGACATTATTTTATTGGTTCCTTGTATTTATTTTATTTTTTTAAAAAGATTTTTTAAAGTTAAAATATGACATTAAATAACATAAATAGAGTACCAAAAAAACCGCCCACTTTTTACAATTTTCTAAGCGCCCGGGGCGGTTAATAGGGATTATACAGTATTTGAACCCTTGAATCATTTGTTTTAATGCAAAAAGTTGTTGAATTATTAGTTGTGTATCATTCATAATTGTTTCCTCCAAAAAAGATAATAATAAGTTACCTTCATCTTTTACAGTACATGCACACACGGCTTTAAAAAATTAACAACTTAAAACTGAATCACACTGATAATACTATTTTATACAAATTCAAGATGCATGTACATGTATGTAGATCACAATACTCAAATGTATTTTGCATTTAAAATTTAAAGTTTTATTTTTTTTACCACAGAAAAAATCTGCAGACTGAGATACTTGTACTGAGGAAATACCTGCTGTTGAACAAAAAACCCAAGACTTGTTTAGGTATGTTTTTGAAGTCTTTTAAAATGAAAACTTCACTCATGACTTTTTCAAAAGGGAGATAAATATTAAAAGTCATTCTCCTATTCTTTGTACACTGACAATGCTGATTAATCATATGCTTTATTAGGGTGTGAATATTAATTTTTATTTTGAGTCTTTCAGTTTATTCTTTTATTTTTTTATGTGCCCCAATCGATAGATCAGAGGCGTATATTGTTTTTGTCCTGTCTGTTTGTCTGTTTATCTGTTTGTCTGTCTGTTGTCAACTTTGCTTTGGTTTGAACATATTTTATTGTTTTGATGTTATAACAACTTTAACCTTAGCCATAACTTTTAACAGAAAGAGACTTCATATTTGGTATGCACACTCCACTAATTAAGTTTTCAAAAGACATCAAGGTAAAAATGACCCTTAGTTTGACCTTGACTGTGACCCTTAAGTTAAAAATAGCTTTTCAAATCTTTGTTGCCTCTGGGCACATAGTGTTTTTTTTTTTTATGCCCCGCCATGAATATGGCCGGGGCATATAGTGTTTGTCATGTCCGTCTTCCGTCCTTCCGTCCTTCTGTCCTTCCGTCCTTCCGTCACACTTTGCGTTTAGCTCTGTTCAAAGCTAAGTTTCAAAGAAACTATCCAAGATATTTTCATCAAACTTCATATGCTGATAGATATTGATGAGAGCTATGGTTCCTCTAGGGATGAACACTACCAGACTTGCTTCGGATGCTGGATCTGACCGACATTTTCAAGACAAGTGACCAGGTAAAAGTTTTAGGAACAGGTCCATTCCTAAGTAACTATAAGCCCTCCTTGGACCAAACTTGCATGGATGATGCATCTAGGGATGGACACTACCAGACTTGCTTCGGATGCTGGATCTGACCTATATTTTCATTCCCAAGTAACTATAAGTCCTACCTGAACCAAACTTGCATGGATGATGCATCTAGGGATGGACACTACCTGACTTGCTTCGGATGCTGGATCTGACCTATATTTTCATTCCCAAGTAACTACAAGCCCTACCTGAACCAGACTTGCATGGATGATGCATCTAGGGATGGACACTACCAGACTTGCTTCGGATGCTGGATCTGACCTATATTTTCATTCCCAAGTAACTATAAGCCCTACCTGAACCAAACTTACATGAATGATGTATCTAGGGATGGACACTACCAGACTTGCTTCGGATGCTGGATCTGACCTATATTTTCATTCCAAAGTAACTATAAGCCCTACCTGAACCAAGCTTACATGGATGATGCATCTAGGGATTGACACTACTAGACCTGCTTCGGATGCTTGATCTGACCTATATTTTCATTCCCAAGTAACTATAAGTCCTACCTGAACCAAACTTGCATGGATGATGCATCTAGGGATGGACACTACCTGACTTGCTTCGGATGCTGGATCTGACCTATATTTTCATTCCTTAGTAACCATAAGTCCTACCTGAACCAAACTTGCATGGATGATGCATCTAGGGATGGACACTACCAGACTTGCTTCGGATGCTGGATCTGACCTTTATTTTCATTCCAAAGTAACTATAAGCCCTACCTGAACCAAGCTTACATGGATGATGCATCTAGGGATTGACACTACTAGACCTGCTTCGGATGCTTGATCTGACCTATATTTTCATTCCCAAGTAACTATAAGTCCTACCTGAACCAAACTTTCATGGATGATGCATCTAGGGATGGACACTACCTGACTTGCTTCGGATGCTGGATCTGACCTATATTTTCATTCCTTAGTAACTATAAGTCCTACCTGAACCAAACTTGCATGGATGATGCATCTAGGGATGGACACTACCAGACTTGCTTCGGATGCTGGATCTGACCTTTATTTTCATTCCAAAGTAACTATAAGCCCTACCTGAACCAAGCTTACATGGATGATGCATCTAGGGATTGACACTACTAGACCTGCTTCGGATGCTTGATCTGACCTATATTTTCATTCCCAAGTAACTATAAGTCCTACCTGAACCAAACTTGCATGGATGATGCATCTAGGGATGGACACTACCTGACTTGCTTCGGATGCTGGATCTGACCTATATTTTCGTTCCTTAGTAACTATAAGTCCTACCTGAACCAAACTTGCATGGATGATGCATCTAGGGATGGACACTACCAGACTTGCTTCGGATGCTGGATCTGACCTATATTTTCATTCCCAAGTATCTATAAGCCCTACCTGAACCAAACTTGCATGGATGATGCATCTAGGGATGGACACTACCAGACTTGCTTCGGATGCTGGATCTGACCTATATTTTCATTCCCAAGTAACTATAAGCCCTACCTGAACCAAACTTACATGAATGATGCATCTAGGGATGGACACTACCAGACTTGCTTCGGATGCTGGATCTGACCTATATTTTCATTCCTTAGTAACTATAAGTCCTACCTGAACCAAACTTGCATGGATGATGCATCTAGGGATGGACACTACCAGACTTGCTTTGGATGCTGGATCTGACCTATATTTTCATTCCCAAGTATCTATAAGCCCTACCTGAACCAAACTTGCATGGATGATGCATCTAGGGATGGACACTACCAGACTTGCTTCGGATGCTGGATCTGACCTATATTTTCATTCCAAAGTAACTATAAGCCCTACCTGAACCAAGCTTACATGGATGATGCATCTAGGGATTGACACTACTAGACCTGCTTCGGATGCTTGATCTGACCTATATTTTCATTCCCAAGTAACTATAAGTCCTACCTGAACCAAACTTGCATGGATGATGCATCTAGGGATGGACACTACCTAACTTGCTTCGGATGCTGGATCTGACCTATATTTTCATTCCTTAGTAACTATAAGTCCTACCTGAACCAAACTTGCATGGATGATGCATCTAGGGATGGACACTACCAGACTTGCTTCGGATGCTGGATCTGACCTATATTTTCATTCCCAAGTATCTATAAGCCCTACCTGAACCAAACTTGCATGGATGATGCATCTAGGGATGGACACTACCAGACTTGCTTCGGATGCTGGATCTGACCTATATTTTCATTCCCAAGTAACTATAAGTCCTACCTGAACCAAACTTGCATGGATGATGCATCTAGGGATGGACACTACCAGACTTGCTTTGGATGCTGGATCTGACCTATATTTTCATTCCTTAGTAACTATAAGTCCTACCTGAACCAAGCTTACATGGATGATGCATCTAGGGATGGACACTACTAGACCTGCTTCGGATGCTGGATCTGACCTATATTTTCATTCCCAAGTAACTATAAGCCCTACCTGAACCAAACTTTCATGGATGATGCATCTAGGGATGGACACTACCAGACTTGCTTTGGATGCTGGATCTGACCTATATTTTCCAAACAAGCAATTCAGCTGCATCACTATTCTGGATATTCTGATCAAATTTTATACACATTCAAATTTTCATGTTGCTTTACTGATATATCCTCGGCGGGGCATTCATGTCCTATGGACATATTTCTAGTTTAATTTTACCTTTGTTAACAAAATGCTAAAAATTGTGTACACTTGATATTGATTGAGTGTTATTTATTTATCTGAATATCACATAGTTTTTTGTGTATTTCAGGTAGAAACAACAATATGGTCGTCAGGAATTTTTCTTGAATTTCCAGCATTTCCAAAAATGCACCTTGCAGGCATGGATTGATTGTTGTAGCTTAACACATGTTACAAGATTATTTAACCCTGATGAGAAGTCACAAGATGCAGTGAATGACACTTGGGAGCAATGAGGAGTGAGGGTTCTTTAGTGTGCCAATATCTGCTGTTCCAACCTTTACTCTCTCTACCAAAAGACCTCCAACTTTACAGCACCAAAATACATGATTAGCTACTGGGAAAATTTTTACATACTTTTCATATGTAACAATATTTAGGGAATAACTATCTTCTAATTTGGTATTTGCGACCGTTAATGCTGATTTAACGGTCGCAAACTGAGTTACGCGTCGCCGGTAAAACGGATGTTTGCGACCCTTAAATCAGCATTAACGGTCGCAAATACTAAATTAGCAGATTAGTTATTCCCATTCTAATGCAATACATGCATTTTTTGGTTGTTTACGTCTCATTTTGATGAATTTTGTTACAAGAAATACGTCACGGAGCATTGTGTTTTTGCGTCGCTCTATTATGACGTCACAATGAAATAGCTTTCACGCTCGTTAATGCTCGTTTTACTGCTTCAAACATGAGCGCATTAGCCAATCAAAAAGTGTTTTACAAATCTATTGCATTAGAATGCAAGTTTACAGTGTTGTTCAAATGTAAACAGCATGTACATCATTTTTTAGATATACAGATGTGATGAAATAATTAGGAACTCTAGTTAGTGTACGGTTAGTTTTACCCCACATGTATATATGTTATATCTCATAAAAAATAGTTAAAAAAATTAAAGTTTGAATATAAGGTAAAAGCTAATACATGTAGCTATTTAAAATGACTGAGTGAAATCATTATAAACAAACCTATACAAGTAAAATATTTTTGTATATTAAATTTCATCAATACATGTTTTGGATACCGAATGGTACTGTCTGATTCACCATAGTTAAATCTGTCATACCTGTCATCATTTTGTCCTGAAATGTGAAATACTTTATTAATAAAGTATTTTACCTGTGTGTGAAATTCTTATACTTTTACAATTATAGTAGCCTAGGCTCAGAGTAAAATAACACAGGTGCATTATTGTCAAATTTTGCGAAAACATTCCCAGATTACAAATTGATAGATATTTCAGCTCGGGTAGGGAGGGGGGGTAAGGTGGGACACAATAGGGGATCAAAGTTTTATCTAGAAATACCAAGAAACAAGATGTGTTTGTGAGACACTGATGCCCCCGTATGGCAACATAGCAAAGATTAAGCTTTTTCTTAAATGCAAATTTAAAAAATTGGTACCAAGAGTAGGGTATTCTCACTGGAAAACAATTGTGAAATTTGAAAGTAAGCCAATGTTAAAGTTTTATAATAAGTACAAAAATCTCCAAGGCCAAGGTCAAAAGGTCAATGTAATTAGTATCAAATGAAAGGTAGAGCATGAAAGCCCTAGTACTAACCGTTCAAAAGTTATCTCCAACGTTCAATTTTTTTAAAAAGTAGGTCAAACTCCCAAGGTCAAAGGGTCAAAGTTCTTGTTATCAAATGAAAGTTCATGTCATAAGGATCAAATATGTAAAGTATGAAAGCACTAGCCCTAACTCTTTAAAAGTTATGGTCAATGTTTGCTTTTTTAAAGTAGGTCAATCTCAAAGGTCAAGGTCAAAAGGTCAAAGTTCTTGGTATCCATTGAAGGGTCTTCTCACAAGGATTACATATATGAAGTATGAAAGCCTTATCCCTTACTATTCAAAAGTTGTGGCCAAGGTTAGGTTTTTGTCACAAGTACGGAAATCTATAAGGTCAAGGTCAAAGGGTCAACAGTGTTGGTTTCCAATGAAAGGTCTTTCAACAAACATTATATATGTGAAGTATAAATGTCCTGGTGTCTACTGTTCAAAAGATATAGCCAAAGTAAAAGTTTAAAACTTTCATGTAAAAGTGGGTCAAACTCCAAGGTCAAAAGGTCAAATTTGGTGGTACCCAAAGAAAGGTCTTGTCACAAGGAATAAACATATGAAATATGAAAGTCCTAGCTCCAATAAATCAAAAGTTATGGGCAAGGTTAAAGTTTTTGCGGACAGAGAGACAGCTAGACAGACGGACGGACACGACAAAAACTATAAACCCCCGAAACTTCGTTTACGGGGGCATAAAAATCTTAGGTAGAAATATATGTACTGGTTCAAATGGGGGCCCCAGGGGTAGGGTTGGACCATAATGTGTGAGGGGGTGTCAAATGAATAAATTTAAAAAAAATATCTGCTCAATAACAGCAAAGCCAGTTGTTATATTGATATGGATTACATATATGAAGTATGAAAGCCTTATCCCTTACTATTCAAAAGTTGTGGCCAAGGTTAGGTTTTTGTCACAAGTACGGAAATCTATAAGGTCAAGGTCAAAGGCTATAGATAAGCTCTCAAGGTGACCAGACGTGTTTTACAGTGCTCCTCCTTATCAGTAATTACCTGTGCTGCTAATCATGGTAAATAATGGAATCGATTAATCTGAATGAAAATACAAGTCTGTTCAAATCTATTTTGGATACTTTTGGATTTTCATTTTCACATGGAAAAACTAATGCTGATGATGAAGAAGATTCTTTAATTGATGTACCAGATTTCTTACGAGTGAAATTCAACCAACAGAGTATCACTTTGAACTATGATGAGGATAGGACTGAGGACATTGTGAGCACTCTAAACAGTGAACTTCTGTTTGCAAAAAATGGGTTCAAAAATGGAAGCATTTATAAATCAGAAAATGGCAGTGTTACAGCGACACTATATAAATCAACTCAGACAATCCATGTTCAAGGGAGCGAGAGATTTGCCTGGCTACGAGAATTCATTGGACAAATTCCTCACCTGCCAATAACTGAGGTTAGTAAAATTGAAGGGATGTTACAGCCACAAAATACTTCCACCCCTAAATCTTGTAAATTGCAAGATATGGAAAGCAGACCATGTCATAACTGTGACAGTTCTGAAATTATTCAAAAACTGACAAAGTCTATTACTGATCTTTCTGAGGAAGTTGCGAGACTGAAAATGGAGTTGCATTCTCTTCAGAACAAAAACACGCAGTTAGTAGATGCAACTACTCAAACAAGGGAACCACATACAAAAACCAAAGCTGTTGATACGCGTGACATAAAGGATACTTGTGTAGAAGGCGTGTCGAGACATACACAGTATACCCGAGTTGAGACAAGGGAATTCTCAACTTCAACGGAAACCTTGTCAGCCCAAAAAGAGCAGAAAACCTCCAACAGACCGGAAAAGAACCGTACCCTGGCGACCGACGTTCCATCTGGAAAATCTGTTCTTGTAATAGGTAGCTCAATCTTACAGCGAATCCGTACCCGTGGATTACTAAAAAATGTTGCAGTCCGTACAAACAGAGGGGCTCGGCTGTCCGATATCAGACGGATTCTTCAGGGAATTGACCTAACACCATTCCAGTCAATCGTAATCCTTGCCGGTGGAAATGATGCTTCCAGCAACAGAGATATTGAGACAAGTGAATGTGATCTCGCCGAAATTGTGCTTGATATCCAAAAGAGATCGCCATGCACCGAAATTTATATCTCAGAGATACCACCACGAAGAGATACAAGTGTTTCTCAAATAAATGAAATCATCAAATTTGTTTGTGAGGAATACAGTGTGAATTTTATCTCTCTCCGAAATATGTTCCAATCTTCGGATCAGTTCTGGAAGGATGGGATCCATCTATCCGACAAGGGAACATCAACACTCCTGAAAGCCTACGATTCTTACGTTCGGATTATCAAAACGCGTCGTTTAAACGATACATAAAATATGCCTGGAAATATGAATGTGTGTTTCTACTGTGGTGAAACTGGCCATTCCTCTCAGAATTGTCGGCATGGATTTAAGATTGTCTGCTGGAACTGCCACTCCCCGGGCCACAAAGCAAAACACTGTTCATATTAGAAATTCGGCAAAGAAGAAAATGCCGAACATTCTACCCCCTTAAATTCAAACCCCTTTAGTGTTTTAAACAATCTCTGTGCTGAATGTGGTGAAATATCATGCAAATGTTCTTATATCTGTATTGCACGTAATATCAAAGACCGATCAGTAGGATCGGATGTAGCTAAAAGTTTTCTTCTTCACAATCAGTCAGTAACTGTAATGTAAATCCTGTCAAAAAAATATTTCATACGAAATCATGTACATCCTCCTTTACTAAATCAACAAAACAAATTCCCAATTCAACAAATTCTACAAAATTTAATAATGGTCATTCACAAAAGGAAACTTCAAATAAATATATAAACAATTTCGGACTCGTCAAGAAAGGTCTTAGATTTGGAAATCTAAATATATGTCACATCATGCCAAAAATTGATCAACTTAAAATTCTTTTATCAGGATATCGCTCTATGGATGTATTTGGTATCTGTGAAACATTTTTAAATGAACAAACAGACAACTGTGTGTTAGATGTGGAAGGATTTAATTTTGAGAGGAAAGATAGGTTACTAAAATCAGGGGGAGGATTAATGGTCTATGTCTTCAAAAATTTACATTACAAACGTCGAAATGATTTTGAAATAGGTAATATTGAATCCATATGGCTTGAAATTAATATCCCTAATTCAAAACCACTTTTTTATTGTACCACATATAGGCCCCACCTGCTGGGTAGAAAGTCTAACACGGGAGATAAATTGTGCATCCCGCTGTGACGATGCTGAAATTATTTTAACAGGTGACTTTAATATCGACCTGATTAAAGACCCCCCAAGATACTGGACCTCTGCTTTTGAAGAATATGACTTCACACAGCTAATTAATGTACCTACACGAATTACAAACACCTCATCAACTCTTATTGACCATATTTATACGACCCTACCAGAAAACATATGTGAATCTGCAGTACCGTCAATTGCAATATCTGACCACTATCCTGTTTGTTTTACGAGAAAATTAAATACTAACACCAACAAATTCAAACACATAGAAATAAAATACAGAGACTTTAAACGATTTAATGAACATAATTTTCTTGCAGACTTAAAGGAGGTTGATTTCCATTCATTGGAATCATTCTCTGACCCTAATGAAGCACTTAATAAATTTTGTTCACTTTTTAATGCGGTATTAGATAAACACGCAAAAGTAAAAACAAAAAGAGTTAAGCATGACACAAGACCTAAATGGTTAACTCAAGAAATTCTGCAAGCTCAACACATGCGTGATACCCTCCATAAAAATAAAGACTTTGAAAATTTCAAAATATGGCGCAATAAAGTTACATCACTAATTGAAAACGCCAAGATTAGTTATTACAAAACAGCTATAGAACAAAACAAAAATCCAAAACAAATGTGGGATGTACTAAACAATTTAGCCTCTAAATCTAATAATTATATTCCAGCTGCACTTGCTAAAAATAATTATATCACAGAGGACACACAAGAAATAGTAGAAATGTTTAATTCTCATTTTTCAAATATTTCTACAGAACTTCTTTCAGGCATAAGTAAGGAGGAAAATGACTTGACAGATCTTTTAGATTTTGTTCAGTCTAAATTGGGAGCAGACAAGTTTTCTATCCCACTCATAAATCATGATGAAGTACTAGCTTTACTCAATAAACTAGATATTAGTAAATCTTCAGGTGTTGATACCATCGGGCCACGTTTATTGAAACTTACTTCACAGATAATACATAAACCTGTGACCCATATTATAAATACTAGTATCAAAACTGGCATTTTTCCCGATTGTTTTAAACTTGCAAAAGTTACCCCAGTCTATAAGAAAGGAAACAGATTAGATCCAAATAATTATAGGCCCATTTCTATTTTACCAACTTTATCAAAAGTTATTGAAAAACATGTGGCAAAATATATACGATCTCTTTTTTCGGATTTTGATCTTATAGTAGACTCTCAATCAGGCTTCAGAGAACTACATTCATGCCAAACAGCCCTTACAAAAATTACAGATGAATGGTTAAATGAAATGGACCAAGGTAAACTT